GGTTTTATATTTAGTCGCCGTCAATTCATTGGCTTTCTGTGTGAAACGCTTGGTTCACATGTCGTTAAAGTAGTTGTAAAGCGCATGAAGCATTCGTTCCATACAAAGAGTCAACACGCCAACACTTCCTTTATTAAGTCTTCTTCGCTCTTTCGCTTGCTAAGAAGAGAGAAAAGCCTGTTTGGATACTTAACTCATTTGTTTGCGTATTTAAGTAAAGTCTGGTATAAAACTATAATGTGCAAAGAATGTATTACGATGATCAAATTAGTGTTGTATGTTTATTCAATTACATTTTTTTACTTTGATTGCATTTAATAATAACAGTATTACATGAAGCTCGTCTCAAATGCCTGTCTTTATGGTGATAGGAGATTGGTAAGCTCAGACAACCGGGTTTGGATCCCCGGCAAGGTCAAAAGATTTTTCTATTAGTCTTAGCGTCCAGATCGGTGCTAGAGCCTACACAGACTCCCATGAAACTGGTGGTAAGGGCCCTTTCCCCGGGAAAAGTAGCCGAGGTGTAAAGCTGACCACACCTCACCATCCACTGCTGAGGTCAAGAGAAAATGGTTTGTCTTGACTACCGCAAGCCTCTTCTGGCATGGATTGTGTTTCTTAGGAGTCAGGGAAATCTTTACCTCCACAGTGCTACATCCCACAAGACAACCATGTTCACATTGTCGTCGTGAAAGCCCCAAATGTCATAAATTATTTCGTTAAATGGCTGATTACTATTTCATAAGGGCATCAGTATTCTCCCTTGCAGTGTAGAAACATAAAAGTTGAATCTTCACCCAGCTTAGCGTGAAACATCAAACTGAATGTTAAATACTGACTGATGAGGGTTACGAAATGCAAGTGTCAGCTTTATCTTACAGTTTCACGTTTCAAAGTCATTAACGTCAGTATATGAAAGGCACGAGACGTTAAATTTAACGCATCATTTACCAAATGCAGCTGGCGATAAAAAATTTTAAAATACGGAAGGGTTAGTCAACTAACGTGACACCTAATATCTGTTCTGATTGACAATCGGGATGAATTTGAAACTCAGCACGAAGAGAATGGTAGATGTAACGCAGACGTCCTTTGAGAGGGATCACACAACCACAAGGCTTGTGTTATAATAGGGTAACAGGGAAAAGAGGGCAGACAGTCCATGACCTGAATAGAATTTGAGATCGCGAACAGTGTCTGAAGAAGTCTCAGGCTTTTAATGGAATCTAACCTCTAAAATCTCTTATACTAGCACTAATTATCGGAGAGGCTGACACAACTGCAATGCGTCTGACCTGAATTCGTGAAGTACCGAGTTCGAATTCTTGCCACAGCTTCAAAATTGTGGTCAAGATAATTCGTGATATTTCTCACTTCTTACTCAGAATTCCAGTAGCGGGCTTAGAAAGTTTTATCTTGCTTCGTTCCTCATCTTTCCCAATCCCAATTGGATGCTACATAATCACCGGCGTTGAAACGACGTCCTTGAATAATCAATTCTTCGTTTCACATGGAAGGTCTGACTCATAAGTTCAGAGACGAAGCCCTAGACAGTGGATAAACAATCATAATGCCTGTATCTTTGCAAGAATGTAGTCACTCATACTATACGTTATTTGCTGGTGAAACGTACAGTGCAATCTCTCAGTATAGAGAGAAACGAACAGGTTAAGTAGAGCAGAAGGTAAATGTAGAGAAACCTAACATCGAACGTGGTAATATGAAGAAATAGCAGTTGCATAGTGACAGAGACGAAGTGCTGTTTGCCTTTTCCGTGATTTTCAACTGCTTCTATATTATTTGGTTAATTAAGGATGGGCCATTACCCGCATACACAAGACCCCACAGATTTTTGAAATTTGGGAATGATAAGGAAATAAATATGTCCTTATTAGCTTACGAGGCTCAACCCAGTGACAGTGAGGGAGTTTGGTACAAACTACATTCAAATAGTTTAATTAATGAGAGAGTTTTATTAGAGGGGGAAGGATAATATTGAAATGGATATTAAAGAAATAGGCTAGGATGGTGTGGGCTAAACTTGTTTCATTCAGGAAAGGGATCAACGGAGGGCTGTTATAAAAACAGTACTGGACCTTCGGTGTGCAAGAAAGTCAAGACATTTCTTGTCTACTTGGGCAGCTGTAAGTTTCTCAAGAAGGAATCTGCTCCGTGAAGCGAGTTTTCTTAGAATTTACTAATGAGAATATACGTTTTTATAACAGTGGCTTTGTAAGGAAAATACTGAAGTTTGCCCATAGTCTATCAGAATGGTTCATCCTGTAAATTTGTGTTCTCATTAAGAGTAGAAATGAGTTTTTCTCGTTTAATAAGAATAAAAGCGACACTGTTGTAAACTTCAGGTTTTCAAAACACGTAAAATAGACATACTGTACAGTGATATTTTTATAATACTGTTTATTTATGTGGTTTATTTAATGACGCGTTGTCAGTAGTTCAGACTTTATAGCGTCGAATGGTAGGATGATTAATGAGTTGGAAATAGTAGCTATGGGCGGAAGCGGCCGTGGCCTAATTTAATGTACTCTCAAGGAATTCTCATGGAGGGACTGAAAGAAACCGCGTCTCAGCCAGGATAGCCGGTCTCCGGGCCAAGAATTGAACGCGAAACTTCCCGAATACGATGGAGTGCAAACCACTCGTTCACGATGTTCTGTAAAATTTCGTGTAGGCCTTTAAAGAGCAGTGATTCCACTGACTCCCTCAGCTGAGAACCCAGAGACACGTTTGCCCAAAACCGTGATAACCACACGTCGCCACAACCGAAAAGAACACAATCGACATTTTCACTTCCCCGAGAACCTCAGATCTCACGTCATCTGTGATTTTACGCTTTGTAAACAGAACAGTTGATGGAGCGTGTTGGTTTGGAAAATTTGCCCTAACGTGGCTGTGGTGATGTAGACATTGTGGAATGCTTGCAAAAGTGTTGCACCGAGGCGTCTATACAATTGTAGTGCTAAGTGGGAGAACCTCTGGTGCATGGTGCCCTGTCGTTTGACAGCCAGGGGGGGGGGGACTACGAATACAAACCTAATTTAGTCATGAGTTTGGTTGAAGTTTGTCTTGCCAACACACTTTTAATTCCAAACTACGTCCCTGCACCCACACGTTTTAGAGAGCTAAGTATGGAAATTTCGTTGTATAGAATTATAATGTAGGCCTTCACTCGTGTCCTATGGGCCTAACCTGTTCAAACAGCTGTCGGTTTTTAAAACGCATACAGCTAGCAGTAAAAATACTCTGGCAGCGCGATGTTGTGGCCTTGGAGGTAACGTTCCGCACATTCTTAAACTCAATATTGGATGGGCGATCGGCTTTGGTTGTGACCGTTTAAATCCATGGTAATATCCATCTGTTTCCTTCTGCCTGCGTATAGTTTTGTTAGGAGCTTGGTCTACACAGACATTTAACTGTTTACTAATGACATTTTGTCTGAAAATGACGACCGCAGTGTTCGTCTAACCGTTTAGGGTATTTCAAAAAAATGCCGAGGCTCAAATTCGAAAATCGATCTTATACAGCAGACATCGATCAGCGAAACGTAAGGACAAGTATTTTTATAAAGAGATATTGCAGGATGGAAACAAAAGTAAAGCCAACTTACGAAACGTCGTGTATATCAATATACGTCAGACAAGGGACAAAGTCCAGTGCAGTGTTTGTATACCAAAAGACCACTTGTTGAATTCGATAAATCTTTTTGAACAGTTGTCTATGGAAACACATTTGAATTTAAAATGTACTGGCACACCAACTGAGAAACGCAAACAACCGAGAATAATACATGCCCATGTTGAAATACGTTTCTGCTGTGCTGTTGCTGGCTATATATTTTCAGAATATATTAATATATATTTGTGTATGTGGGGGGAGTATGAAGAGGATTGTGTACTGGAATTTGGAATTAGGTTGCCACCGCGCGCACTAGAGACTTTGTTGGAATTGCAGATAGTTGGAAGGACTGTCGTGGAGTCTCCAGAGATCAAGTGCGGGCGAACGAGTGGTGCAGAGACGCAGCAGACTACAATGTTTAGGAGAGTTTAGCATCCGAACGCTTATTTCTCATGTGATTGAGAGGCTTTACGTGAACAAAAAATAATTTTGCACATCTTATCTAACGTAAAGGTGCTTAGAAATTATGTACTTTAATTGAGAATTTTATTCTAGTTTTAAGTCCCAATCTAATTGAACGGCCAATTTCTTGGGATTAGTCTGGTTAAATATATTATAAACCAGTAGGTCCACCATTCTTCATGTCAGGGCAGAAACAAAATTCAGACACAAAATATTTGCTCTATGTAACTAGTTAATCTACATCCTTAATTCTCACATGAATGAGGGAGTAAGTCGGCTAAAGCGACAAGACATTTGACTTTCATTCTGGTGGTAACCGATTAGATTCTTGGACAGAACACCAGCTATTCTTATTGTATCCCATAGCCGTTTCAACTACATGCACGCGAATGATAGCGTGGAATCTTAAAATGTACCACGTCCACTGCCTTCCATGTCCTTTATAGATCACGTATTTAATACTAATACCACCCATTCGCCTCTTTAATCTTTGGAGCTGGCACAGTATCGTTAAATAACATATAGATTTACATTACACATAAGGTTAATTTCCGCGTCGATTAATAAAGAATCAGCGTATATGTTAGTAATTGACTACTTCCATTGGAGAACAGTCCTTCGTAGAAAGGGAAAAAAGTTGTTTAAGTGGTATATTTCTCGCCTGTTATTGAGCCCGACGGCCCATTACCGTGTTCACATGAATCCACAAGGTCTTAATAGAGATTACGCCTTTCCTTTATTCATATCGTATTGAGGACACTAAACTTTAGCCCGGGAGATGGAAGCAGTATATTCCTCCGAAACGTTGGTATCTACCTACACGTCCACACCGCATTGCAAGTCGGAAGTCCAACGTCAACGAAGTGTTCATTGCTTGTGTATCTCGGGTTGCCGCCACTCACCTGTGGCTGGAGTTGCTGGAAGTGACGCTGTTGTTGCTCCTGGAACGCCTGCTCTTGAGGGAATCCCCGCGGTTCACGACTCCTTTACCCGTGATGCTGAAGTGCCTGAGGCGGTAGTATTCCTCCTCGACGTCAGTGTTCGGCATACTAGCCACGCGGGACCTCTGTTGTGGCAGGCATAGGTAATTGGGTCGCCCGCTGTTCGATCGACTGCCCGGAGTTTTTACAGACTGCGACCGGCTGTGATGAGGACTCCCGTACCTGAAATGCAACGCTGTATCAACTACTGGATTTAAATTAGACTTATATGATGCGGATACGCTTTTCCCCTGAGAACATATATCTGTTTCTCAACCTCATCTTCGTGATGGCGCACGAAAATTTTGCCCGATATCTCACGAGCTGTTAAACTGTCCATTATCTTATTTATTTGTTTATTTCTGTTTGAGCTGCGGTAGCTCAGTATGGCGTCTAGACTACGTACCAGGCAACCGGGGATCCCTGGCAGAGGCAAAGCATTCTTCTTCCAGCCTCTGCGTCAAGACCGGCTCTGGGGCATAACCAGCGTCTTAACCAGTGGGTACCAGAAATACTTTTCCCGGTTGTAAAGCGTGGCTGGAGTATGACGCTGACCGAGGTCCTCAGTTGATCAACAGAGTTAATGGGTGAGATTTCAGATTCTCATTGCGGACAATATTAAGATAACTGTCTTGTGCGATGTTGCGTCTTGCAGTTGTAGAAATTGACCGACATTTCAGATATTCTTACTGCCTCAGGCCTAATAATGGAGGCGGTAAGTACGTTAATGATTTTCATAAAACTTTAAACTTTAACATAGCCATTTGGTCCCGTGCTGGTCTAGGACAGTCCCCTTCCACGGCTTATTTCTCTAAACTTTCTTATAACATAGGACCATCTGCGCTTTGATCTTTCAAGTGATCATTTCCTGTAGAATTTTAAACTAATTCTGTATGCCCATTCGTTCCTCTTTTCCCTTAACTTTGCTACCTGCCGTCCCTACCTCGTCCATATTCATTTAATGGCTCTAACAAGTTCAATCCTTTAACCCATATTGGTTAACACCAATCTATTCCAATGTATTATATGTATTAACATGTAATTTTCTAAAGACATTTATTTTGAAATTATAAAATCTTATCAGGAATTCGTTTGGCGAGATAACGTGACGATTAGATGAAATTATTGACAACCGTGTTGACGGCTTTTAACGCAGAAAAGCTCTAGCTTATGAACTTCTATGTTTGACAGAAATCAATAAAATTATATAATAATTATACGGCATAATAATTATTTTACTTACGAAAACTTTTAATCATTTGCAAGAAAACACTGTGGAACGATCATTTGAATTATCAAATATAACAGTCAATTGATGTACGTAAATCCATTCAATTTATAAAATTGTATTGCAATTACGTTTCAATACTGTCAATATAATTAGGATTACGTAATCGAGCTCTGTATACGTAGTATTTGTTTCAATATGTTATCCATGCACATTATTGTATGCATATACCACCTGACGCACTCCATTATAAATAGAGATTACTCTTTGAATAGATGCTTGTCTGGTCTATCTGCATGTAATTAGTTATGGCGAACAAAAGAATTTCGACAAGTGGTCAGCTTATTTGTGTCACGAACCAGTATTCACAGCTATTCAGTCGAATTATTATGTTTGAAAAGGTTCTAATATTGACATTTTAAACCTTTCACGTCCTCTGCATGCTCATGCCAGAACACCATCTGCTGCTTTTTGTGTTCTACTCAAATTTGCCAGTTTTTAATTATCCATTAGATAACAAGTTAAGTAGAACGAATAGCAATAGAGATTATTTTCAGGTATTTGTGTCTCGACTAGATGGACATGAAACCGCTCTCAGAAGCCATACCCAGACATTTCAACTTTGTGGTCCAGCATTAGTGAGGGACATGAGTCGTGTCGTTCATTATACTAAAAACGCTGAACATGATAGAACATGACGTTTTAATATATATGATGTTTGCGGTATTATTATTATTATTTAGTGTTCTGTCTTACGACAGGTCCATTGCTCTGCCCAAAAAGAGCTCTCCAGTTTTCCCTATTCTCAGCTTCTCGTTTTAATTCCTGGAACTTCATCTTCTTTCCTTCTTTCAGATCGTCGGTTAGCTGTATCAGTCTTCTTCCCAGTCCTCGCTTTCCTTCAACCTGGCCTTCGGTGATATCACTCAGTAATCCATTCCTTCTCATAATATGTCCCAGCCAGTTAGCTTTCCTTCGTGTAATCGCCTGCAGAATGTTTCTTTGCTCGTTGACTCTCCTCAATACTTCTTCGTTGGTCACTCGATCCGTCCACCTGATCTTCTCTATTCTTCTCCAACACCACATTTCAAAGACACTCCATAAGTAACACTTCACTAGTTTCTTCTTCATCTCCAAACCCAACTTGCAAGTGAGAAGTATCCTCTTCTTGACGAAAGCTGCCTTGGCCATGGTTATCCTTGCTTTTACTTCCTTGGTGCATAGAGCGTCCGTCGTGATTATGCTTCCCAAGTACTTGAAATGCTCCACATTCTCCAGCTGTTGGTTTCCAATTACAACGTTCAATGGTTCTGCTCTCGGTGCTATCCTCATTATCTACGATTTTTCAATGTTGATTTCCATTCCATACTCTCTACCTGTTTCCACTAACTTGTCCATCATGTTCTGTAATTCCTCTTCCTTCGCCATGGCGGTAGTATAACATATCAAAATTTCTTTTGCCAAATTTTAAGTTCTCACAGCGGCGAGTATGAAGATGCCAGCCTTCTGGAATATTGCGCTGTGTAATCTCGTAGAAATTGATCAATGTTTTAAAGATGCGTACTGCCTCCATCATCAGGGCGATGAGTGAAGACCTTCTACGAGATTACACGGCGCAATATCCTAGAAGGTTGTTATCCTCAATATTTATTTCCTTCTCAAACAATAACGCTGATAAAGATTCGGTAAATCCTTCGTCATGAGTGATTGGATGATAATTCCAGCTCAGTTATTCCGGGTCAGGGCCGATGTGTTGTGTAGCATACACCGTGCCACTGGGACGACCTGCCTAAATCCCACTCTCGTGACTTGGTGTAATTGGGGCAATAGCTCTTCGCCCGGCTGGGTAATGAAGCTTGCGTATGCAAAGCCACGCCTCTGATCCACGTATTAGGTTAATTTAAGCAACAAAGGCCTGTATTATGTAGATCTCTGTCTAAGTCTCTTCGAACGTTCTTTCAGACAGACTTATAAAAAATTTGTTTGACAACTCTGGGCTGAAATCTGCAACTATGCAGGTAAGAAACATAAGCTCATGTGGTAGGATAATATTAAAATGATTCTAAAGAAGTACTCTATGACAGTGTAAACGGGATGCACTGACAGAGGGCAATGCAGTGACTGACTACGGGCTGGACGACCGGGGTTCGATCCCCGACGGGGACAGAGGAATATTCATCTAACCTCTGCGTCCAGACCGGCTCTGGGGCCCACTCAGCGTGTTGTCTAATGGGTACCGGTGAGGGTAAGGCGTGGTCGAGGCGTTACGTTGACCACTTACGCCTACTTAGTGCCGAGGTGAGAATGAACAGGAGCTATACTGCTCTCCCCCCAAGCGCCTACATGGCGTATAGTGGTACAGATTTTTTTACAGTTGACTAGACTAAAATGCAGTACTGTCAAAAATCTGATACTACCAAAATTAAAATTTTCTTTTCAAGAAATGTAAAGCCTAGTTATATAATAACATATCATCTGGTTCTATGGGAAACGAAGCCTCCATGACGAAACAAATATGTTCTTATGGCAATCCAGGACACAGTCTTAAAAATTCCACAAGTGTGTTGACGTAATCTCCTAGTGTTTAAAAGATCTCAGACGAGTAGAGAATAAGGATGTCAGCCGAACGAAAGACGTTAAAAATATGTGTGTGTGTGTGTGTACAAAGGCACAGAATAATCGGTCGGTGGTGCATACGAACTATAAAAGTATGTATGTGTTATTTAAATGGCCTTGACGGAGACCTTTAAGATTGTTTAGAACAGATCGTTTTGGAACGGCTTGTTGATGTCTGGGCAGATGAGTGATGGTGAGCGGTGTGGTATGGTGTAGCTAGCTCCATGCTGATGTAAGTCAAAGGGATTAGAAATTTTATCTTCTAATTCTGGTTTTCTGTGGGTTGTGTGCTGTATGATCTTACAGGTTGTTACCGGCGTTTCGGAGGAACGTATCGCTTCCATCTTCAGAGGATACGTTTCTCGTAAACGTTTGTCCTTTGTTTCGTATGAGTAACTTCATCTTTCCCATCGGAAAAGTAGAAAGTACAAATCCGAAAATATTATCTGAAGAACGAGCGATAGTCTTTAAATACCTTCAATTCTTGTAAAAACAGCAGTTAATTTTTATCGGATTCCAGCGCCTCCTACATTAAAATACCGAACAGTGTCATTCTTTCATCAGGTACTGTAATCAGTTTGAATAAACTGTTTATTTAAATATAAGGAACTCTGATTTTCACGTATCGCGCTTTTCTCTTACGATTGGAGTGCAGAAAGAATTCGAAGAAAAATCTGTTAACATTGGCACGGATTTCTGTAAGGACATAAACTTTTGTGTATTTTTAGTGTTACTTTTAACGAAGAACTTGTGCTTAAATAATACCACATTCCGTTGTCAAGAATTACATCCGATTATGAAATGAATAATTATAGACGTACACTTTCAAAATTTTACAAGGACATTCCACAGCATGGAAATTATAAAGGCACGTAACTTTTATTTAACGTTTTTTTTTTCAAAATAGCGTGTCTAAAGATCTGGTGAACAAGTAGGATGGATTTTCAGGTCGTGAGGAGGAAGAATCTAATAATCTAAATATAGGTCCATGTGTTACAGTTCCGCTAGTGACATGTAGATGTTCCCGCTTTTCTGAAATATCCCGTGTACGCAGAGTTATTTTCAGTTCTTATCCCTATCCAAGGGATTCCAGCTGAATACCACAATTTCGTGAATAAAATCCCTGCAAATCATTCAGTAGAAGTTAGCTCACGGCAGCGAGTATGAAGGTAACTGCCTTCTGGGATGTTACGCAGTGTAGTGTGGCAAAATCTGACCGAAGTTTCAGACGTGCTTATTGCTTTCATCATCGCCCTGATGATGGAGGACTTACGAATCTCTGAAACATCGGTAATTTTCTACCAGACTACACTACGCAACATCCCAGATCTCCGCCTTGTCTCCGTTTTTCATAAATTCAATGAAGCGTTAGTTAGAGCACTGTTGCTCTCAGATTTTAATTTTAACTAAGATTTATGTCATTATACGATTTCAGGCAACTCTAAATTTTGTCGGCTACAGCTAATTTTTTCTTTGAACAGTGGAGAAGCTCCAAATTGTGCGGTTGCTTACGTGTAATTAATTGTGCCTAGATTATGTCTTAGCAGATTTGACCAATTTGTATATATCATAATGAAGGAATCGAATACGTAATAGTTCCTGTTACTGACTTAATCATTCTTAGCTATGGAAATGCTGGACTGCTTCATATGTATTCTCATGCTTAGAAACTGATTTTGTCTATCATGTTGTCAGATATTATTCTGGGATACGTGAACGTAATCTAGTGCAAGACATCAGCCGACAGAAGGATTGAAGCTAGGAAGACCCAAGAAAAGTTGGGTGAACCAATCTTAAACCCGGGCACAAGAAAGACCGAATGATCTAATCCGTGATGTAATGGATGACGAATTTTATATGGGGAATTTCCCGTGGTGAATCTTCGCTAATTCTCGCAAACTCTGAGCTTTTAACCCACGCCCGCTGTAAGTCTCCCTCCTTCTTGTACTACCCGCAACATCGCGCAAATGTAGCGTTCTCATTTCTTGCTTTCCTCAGGTCCTTTGGATTTCACACTTGTGGATTTATAATGAACATGAAATTATACAAACAAAAATCATTTTGCAGTCCACTTTTCATCTGGACGTTTCATGGAATTATAATTCGATCTTATTTCAGGCGATAGTCAAATTAATCCCCTGTTTCTCGTCGTGTTCTAAGGACAAAATTAATTGTCTCCATATCATGGACACTGTTAGGCTTCGTGAAATACTAAACAAATTTCATTTTTATGTTTAAATTCATAGTCCTTCATTTGTATGTTTCGTTGTTGCAAGAGAGTTTCCCATTTTACGTGCTCCTGTTAATTTACTTTCAATACTTACTTGTTATCCTAATAGTTTTATCTTAGTTTTTATATTTATTTTGATGTTGATATGTGGCCTGTGGTGTTCACATATACTTTTAAAGGAATTGAATTATTACTTATTATTATTATTATTATTACAGCTATTTCACTATTAAGTCAGACAAAATTTTAAATTATAGCATTCCACTCACGTTCAGACACTTCTGTTATTACGAATTAATTAACAGAAAATTATTTTCATTTATACGCTTTGCTACTGGACATTTTACAGTCATTTAAATATTTTAACAGTACACAAATTATAATCAAATATATTTGAAGATATAGTGGACATTAAAATATACGAACTTTGGCCTGTAATCAAGTTGCCTCGACTAATATTCTGTTTTACGACAGTGACTCATGCTAGCCAGCCACATTCGTCCAAAGGTCGTGCCAGCAGCTCACTCAACGTGGAAGCCACGTGGTTACAATGCCTGTAAGCTCAAATATAAATAAACAACGCGATATAATTTCCCCTTTTATGCGTTCTTTTCACTTAAAATGGAAGCAATTCCTTCCTGGCGCTTTATATGTAAATTCGTTCGGTCGATTTCGATTGTTATTTGATATTGCGACTACTGCGGTTACTACTACCAGATCACATGGCGCAACATCCCAGAAGACATTCTTATTCACACTACAAATTATTTGAAGAATTTTATTGCGGCCATTTCGGTCTATTACAACTGCGTTTCATTAAAGTGAGTTTATTACATCCCTATGGGCTAATTTCGCAAACCATAGGCCTAGCATTTATAATGCTTTATAACGTATTGTTCGCTCATATTTTTATTAGCTCTGTAAGTAAGAGGAACGTAATGTAATAATTGCATAACAATACTTAAATATGCAAAATAGCAGTGCACGCATTTGGAAAATGTATGTCTTCCAAACTGAAAAATATCTTTCCATTTCTGTTGACTTGTTTTCAACTCCATTTTGTGTTCATGTATCTAACGAGAAGAAATTTGAAATTTGATCGTATTGGGAATGGAATCCAGATATGTGTCTTGAAGACGTTTATAAGAGCCTTCTCAATTCCAAATGATGTAGGAGTTCCTTTCCGACAGATATTCCGGTTTCAAACTATTATTTAAGAGGAAAAGTTGATCTCAATTTTTTTTTCGAAATGTAAACCTTCTATTTACATCGACTTTTTGAGTTGATTGTACTTCCGAGGATTACTTGGAACATGAGAATAAATATTTATGCTGAAAAAAATCCCTTTTTACCAGAGGGAAAAAAGTTTACATGTGTGAAAAAAGGTGAGTGTATGTTATTTCATACAATTTTAATACTGTTTAAGTACTCCATGAAACCTAATTTTGTGACAACCAGATCTGACGGCAATGAAATATTTAATCTCAGCGATTGTAGAGAACAAGGCGGAGAGACATTTTATATATTATTCGTCTATAGTCGGTCACTGCTTTACTATATAAATAAATTTCAAGTCAACATTTTCACTGACGGGAAGACATTCTGAGATTGTGATTCAGGACGTTAAATGTTTGACGGTACAGTATTTAATATTTTGTAAGTAAAAATGGGAATAGTGTTGTTAACTGCCAGTTTCATTTATCTCACAATGTAGGACCTATTTCCCTGTCCCTCATTACCGATATACAAACCTGTTCGTAACTTTTAAGGTGATACGGAGTCCGCCCTCTTAGTACGAACCATTACTTTTATCCCTTGTTATCGGAAATCATGCATTAATAACAGTCTAGTGGAACAAAGCTGTTACTATCAGAAACTGTACTCACTTCATCTCAAAGTCGTGTAGCTCCTGAAGGGTGAGCGTGTTTGCTACATCTAGCAGCTGCTTCATGTTTTCCTCTCGCTGCAACTTGGTGACTGACACTGTCTTCGCCGAGTCTCCAGACTGCGTTACCGCCGTAGTCACACCAACACCACTACTAGCACCACAGTTCTTCAGCAGCACCGTTGCTATTGTCGGACTACCGCCAGTCACTGATGGTTGTTGTACCACGATCGTGGTAGCCGTAGGATGTCTCATTGGCAGCGGTGTAGCTCCTGCTATCCCAAGGGGATTTGTAGTTGTGTTCACTTTCGGCGGCGAGGTAGGGATATTTATATTAGTTCCCTCTCCGACGCCTGATGACGTAGCAGTCTTTTCCAACACTTCGTCTTCTCCTCCGACTACTGTGCTAGCGGTTCCTTGTAAAACTCCCGCCTTTTTCAGGAGAACTGCTGCGGTTGACGAGGAAGACGATGACGACGCCAATACTGCTGACCCGCCTGCAAGACTCTTGTCACTTCTTCCTTTGTCTACTGTCGTGGTGACATCCGTCATGATGCTGTGCCGACGGAAGTTTTTGTCGAACACGCGCTCTTTGTCTGCAGTGTTGAAAACAGGTTTTGAGAAACAGTCGGAGAAGAAGTCAACACGAAGGTCTGGCGGAGGGTGGTGTCCGTTCATGTTGCTGTTGGTTTTGCTTCTTGCGTCAGTCTTCTGTCTGTGGTGGTGGTGGCGGCGGCGACTAGAACGAGGCGACTTTGTTGTTGTCGTCGTGGAGACGCCATCTTTTATGTTCTTGTTATTGTGGATAGACGATTTTAACAGCGATATCTTCCTCGTCTCCTCATCGGGATGCCCAGTATGTTCCTCATCGTCGACTTCGGTTCTGACAAAAATGAAATGTTGCTCTTTAGAAACTGCTCCTAAAAGTGGTGTTGGGGGCGGTGGAACTGGGTTCGAATCATCTGTACTTGAGCCGCTATAGAAATCATCATCTTTCTCTAGCGATAAGGATGTCCCGACAATGTCGTTCATGTAGTTAATAGGCTTCTTGTCGGTGTCGGTGTCTGTCTCGCCGTCCGTCACGGTTATCATCGTTGCCACAGTGTTGGCTGAATCCGTGCTGGTGTTAATGGTGTTGTTGGACGACGTGGAGGTTGTACTGCTGCCCATTATCACGACCTTGGGAACTGGCTGTTGTGATGGTTGATGTTTCTTGTTTGCTCGACTCCCACCGGCGGATTTGAAGTGAAGGCGTCTTAAGGCTGAAGAGGCGGTGGAGAGCAAGTCGTGTTCCCCACCACTGGGTGGTGTTCCTGAAGAGGAGAGAGAGGATGTACTGGACATTGGACCCGACCGCTGGAGCACTGTCATCTTGCCCTTACACGGCGAACCCTTGCCAAACCCCTGCAAGAAAAAAGAGATAATTGGCTTTTAGGACTACCACATATGTAAACACGAGTCGTCCACTGAACCGAGAGTACGTTTTGAAACATTATATCAAAGTTTAGTTTAGTTTGATTGGTGACATTAAGACCAATGAGGGATGTAAAATTGCAAAGACAGCATTTGGAAATTCTTCGGACCACTACGTAAAGTGTTCTGCTCTTTGTATTCGTTTTAAATCCCCATCCTCCTGTACGAGGGCTTCTTCTTGGAAAAACAAAAATGCAATCATCGTCTGTTACAGAACTTAATTATTTTCGGGATACTAGTACCAGAATTTGTGGAACCCGAAGATATTGTGAAGAGCTTGCCACCATTTGTTATCACGAGTTAGATAATTCTAGTCAACATCTTCATATCTTGTGTATTTAACATCCAGTTACTATCCTCGCATCTACTTGAAGTTTTCAGAGTTGTCTCTTCGTTTCAAGGAGCCGAGGTAGCTCAGCGAGTACAGTCTGACTATGGACTGGACAACCGGGGTTCGATTATGATTCCAGCCTCTGCGTCCAGGTCTTCCCATTCAAGCTCCTGTCCAGTAGGTAACGGGGGGGTTCTCTTTACGGGACAAAAACCCAGTTGGGGCGTGATGCTGACCACTCACCCCCATCTAGTGCCGATTTCAAGAAAGAGTAGGAGGTATGCGTTCTCTCCTCTCAAGCGCCCACACGGCTTGTAGCGGGACAGCTTTGCTTTACTTTATCATGTAAATATTTATAGGCTTTCCCATGCGTGCTACATTCCCAGCTCATTGCCTTTTCTTTGATATGAGCGTTCACTAATTCTGTTTGTCGTACGGTACAAGTTATTAAGTTCCTTGTTATGTGGTGTTCTAAGTCTTCCTGTTATTTGCTTCCCCTTAGTTCTAAATAATCTCCCCAGCACCAGTTAACCACAGTCTGTATTCCTCCCTTAATGCGACAGACAAAATTTTACAACATTACAAAACTACGGGAAATATTATAGCTTTGGTTTGTATCTAAACATATCATTTTCACAAAGAGGTCGGGAAGACTGATTTGCAGCAAGCATTGCCCGGGTCTCTCAGTTTGTTTGTGAATGCAGTTCTGATCTGTCACCGTCATGTCCCTACACAGGATTTTTCGAAACATACGGCACCGTGTCAGAGGCGTTTTCCTAAGCTCAGAAACAACGACGAAAGTCTGCATAAGCTTCGTGTTTAAATTATGGTAATTTTATTTTGGATGGAGGAAATAAATAATTTGTAAAAGCGTCCACAATGAAGAGTTTATTTACAAGTCGCTAATTTTAGCGTTACATATTACTATTCTGACAACAAACCATAAAAAATGCTGTCTTGTCCTTGCGCGCTACGAGTCTGATTAAGGATTGTCACACGCGTTCAAAAATTCTAGATTAATTAACTTGCATCCATCTTCACTCTGTTATAACTACGCTACGCGGTTGACTGCCGTATATAAGCAATAATTTTAAGATGTCCCCATAAATACTGCAGGCGTTTCTTTCTTTAAATGGGTTATAACTCGGAAACGAAGCATCCAAGGTCCCAATCTTAGATTGACATTTCGTTGCTTTCATTCTCAGATCACGCCCTCTAAATAGGTATTGTGCATTTCGGGAACACGTGTTTTATCTGTACCATATATTCGAACGATTTATTGGCTGTGAAGATGGCTTTTCTGTGGGTCATTGTTCCCTGTTAGACGTTTACCGACGTTTTAGACAGCAACCTTTATTCTTGAAGCCGAGGAAATATTAGATTTCTTAATTCTTAGCTGGTTTCATTCCTCTACCTCAGTGTTGCGCAACCTTTATACACTCGCGGCACACTAAATATTGTTTGATCCAAAATTTATTAACTATGTGTAAACGTTTTAACCTAAAGATACTTATTTATATTTGTAAATGTAGATTGCAGAAAAATACATAGAGTGGCAATAAGAGTAAAGGGGAGTTATACATGTTTTGCTGCAAAGTGGTTGTGTTGCTTTCCAATTCCATTTAGTAGATCTTGTCTGTCCTCAGTCTGCCCGATCATAATAAAGAAAATAAAAACTTATACAGGGCAGAAAATAAGATTAACAAATATTTATTTCTTTTGGTTATATTTATAATACGAGGTGAACATTTCGTGACACACCTAGATGGCGTCCGCGGCACGTCGGATGCACATCACTGCTCCAACAGATATGAAAGATGCGTCATGAAGTATTACTGAAGTTTTCTCCTGCTCTGCGTCCAAGTATTAACTGTGTGAAACTTAATCTTCCCTATGGAAATACATTTACACGTGGACCTAAACTAACCCTGCGACCACTAGCTTAGACTGTCAATCCCACAAGAGGGGACAGGCCTCAAGTTGTTGATATGTGATAAACTGGAGCGTGACGTGGTTTCTGCTGCAGTTGTCACTTGTGGGGAGAGTGGATTAACTTGCACGTCGGCTAGTACTTGGGACCAGCTTGCCGCAGAACGACATTCACTTGAGGAACTCGGACGTGTTACAAGACGTGGGTGGCACGCATCGTAACACTCACGTTGATTAATGTGCAGGACAAAGAACACTATACTTGTCCCACAGATGTGAAACATGAAGACAAATGGAAGAGTTTGAAGACTAGCTTTCCGGGAAAATACCGTAGTCTTGAATTTCCGTGTGGTGGTCGGAGCCCCTAGTTCGCATTATGCAGAAAGCACTGTCATCAGGACTCAAACCCAGGACGGATTTTCGGAGTTGTTACCTTCTTAAAATCCTCTACTGATTGTCTTTTCCGTTCTCGACATATAAGTTAATACAGACACATTATTTCAGTGTTACAGCCTATATAATATCTGTTGATGATGGCGATTGTAATTTTTGCCTGCACGAGGGCCCCGTTTTCTCCTCGCATGTGGTAACGAACTTAAAAGATTCGCTCTTAAGCTGAACATTACAAAGTTGCCTAGAAATGTCTTCATGACGATAATCACCGTTTGTTGTTTCAGACGATAAAACGTAAGAAGGTTTTCGTGTTTAATGATAGCTTAATGTTAATGCTATGCTGCTAGCGTTAAAGCTTAAAAAAGGGGTTATAATATGGCCACTTAATACTGAATACGAGATCTCCTCGTGTAAAAACCAGAACCTGAAACAGTTGAAAGTAGAGCAGCAGTTAAATGGTCGTAGGAAATTTGAATAAAGCTTCCTGGAATATTCTTTCTGCAGCAGTAGTTAATTTTAGTTGTATTTAAGTTAAACATGCTAATGAAACAAAGGGTTTAACAGATTTAAAAATCGAATGCAAAGAAATTGCAAAAAGAATAAGAACGCTTGGATATGACATAGGTTTAATGACCTCATCAGCTTGTAGGGGCACTGGTTTCTGCCTCGCCCCACTCATTCACTCTTAGTTAATTGCCATCTTCTGTAACATCGTAATGTTGTTTTATGTAAACGTGAAAGTGCAGCTAATGAACTTCTGCAATAAAAAGATACAATGTTCTGAGTTACTTATTTGAAGTGAAAATGACGTTTGATAGCACCAGAGACAAGTTTTTGTGTGTTTGATCTTTTTGTACTGGTAGATTGAAGCGTTGATACCGGCGTACGAACTTTTTTGATCAGTGTACAGACATGTGTAACCCAGGCGTTATTTAAACAATTGGAAGTATTTTCTTAAATGTGGGACTAAGAATTTCATTATTTTCAAAGTAGTCCTCCTACAAAGTGGATGCGCACTAAAATCTATTATATAAGTTGATAGGTTTTTAGTTATTTGATACCATGCTGTATCAAGTACTGAGGTTAAATTGAGTCAACGTGCAACGGGATTATGGTGTAAGATTAATGCAGGCATGGGGAAATGACAGCTTCTATTTTATTACGCAAAGATTGAATCAGTTAAATTGTTTAACATTATTGCTTGAATGTTAATGGTAAATTTGGAATAATGCGGGACAAAAAGGAAGTCATGACCGATTCTGAGATACTATCGTAGAATATTTGCGTTAAACTGAAGAAAATCAGGAACTTTAGGTTGCATGAGTACTCGACTGGGATTTGAACCTGCTAATCCCGGGTGCCTGTTAGGTATGTCAATATGTAGGGGTAACTGCACTGCTAACAGCCCAATTCATGTCAGTTTATTTGTCAGTCCTAATCCTCCGGCAACCTTTTCGTTTCACAATTCGTCCTCTGTGCAGCAGGCCTGTGATCTGGGAGATTTGTATTACTCGCTACCCAATCGACAATTAACGGCTATGATGAACAATGGTGCACACAAAATTACATTCACTGAAGGATGGGGGTTGATAAACATTTAGCAATCACACATCGTTGTTACGTTTATAACGTATTGTCAACGATAATAGGTAGATGCAAGCAGGCAAGCAAGTTTACAAATGTATTTTGTTGGCATTCTTTACAAAGCAAATTTTGAATGTACCGGACAGCGTTTCGTTGCTGTTTTTGTCTTACTTAACACTACGTGAATAAAAGTTGCATTGTTCCAAAAGTCTGTCCCTAAATTCGATTCAGACCAAGCGGCGCTAATTCTGTTCCCACTTCAAAAGTTCGCCTTTTCGCCAATGTCCATGTTGGGACATTTGATGGCTGAAGTTTAAAGACGTCAAGGATCAGGTTTTAAGAATATTATTAAATTAATTTTTATAATATTGATGTCTATAGTTGAATCAGGGTGTAGTGGAACGGACGCACTACCTGAACCTCGCTAACTTAATTCCTGAAGGGACCCATAAAACCCGTTCTCTATTCATATAAGGACGTCAGTGAAATATACTTTCCACCATCACGAATATATGACGTCAAGGAAAAAGGACCTTACAAAAATGATCAAAATGGCATATGTAACGCATCGTAAAATTCTCTTATACGCAAAAGAAAATTCACTACGGAGAGTACATGTCTTCTGTGTTGAGGCGCTTTGTAGTCTGGAAGACGTTTATGCTGTCACCATAATGAGGGCGATCAGTGTCAAACG